AAAAAAAAAAACCTTCAGAAATAGCTTTAATATCTATCAAGAAAAGCCTGGTCAAACAAACTGTGGAACATACATGTAATGAAAAAACGAGGTTTACCCTTATATGTTGATTTGGAAAGATAAGCAATAAAACAGCTACTATTTATCTACCACTTAATACATGCTAGGCATTGTTTAAATCGGTTTACACATATGAACTCATTTAATTGCTACAGTAACCTTCTTAAATAGGCAGGTGCTATTATTATCTTCATTTTACAAATTAGGAAACAAGGACAGAGAACAACTTGCCCAAGGTCACAAGGCTGTTGGTTGTGGTTTGGAATCTAAACCCAGGAAGTCAGACTTCAGAATCTGTACTCTTGATCACTAGGCTTTACAAGATATAGTGGCATAGGGAGCAAAGTTCAATAAAAACCAATGTGTAAAAACGTGTGTGTGTGTGTGTGTGTGTGTGTGTGTGTGGTATATATGTATCTTGTATAGCAGATAGAAAAATATTAAACATTTTACCTCTGAGAGAGACTGGGGTGCAGGGTAGGAATGGAATATGAGAAATAGCATTTTTATTTTCTCTTCAAATAATTCTATACTGTTTGTATGTTTTTAGTATATTTTTAAAATAATCTTCTAAAAACACTTAACCAAAAAAAGCCCCAAAAAAGCAAATGAACTCCAGAGAGTGCTACTCCCATTCTGTTCCCCTTAATTTTGCCACCATTATAAATAGTATGACAGTAAATACTTCCTCATGAGAATGATAGAGAAGGCACTGGTTTTGCAGAGATTATTCATAAAATTCTGCAAACCAAAACCACGGAATCAGTGCTTTAAATCATTCTCCAGACATAGGAATATCTTCATTATGAAAGTTAAGTTTATAATAATATAGACTATAATGGGACTTGCCTATAGTTCAAGGTCTAAAGACAGTGAACTGACAAAACTAAATAAATGCAATGGTGAGTTTTTCTGGTTTTCCTATAGCTCTGGTTTTACAACCACATATGGTATCTTCGTTTACTTCTTAGAATATTGTTAAAAAGAAAAATTAAATTGACCCATAATGATAAATATGTCATAGATTGTGGGAGATTTAAAAAAAAAAAAGTCCAAAAATTAGAAACAAAAAATAAGGTAGTACTACGATACTACACAGAGTGAAACTACCATATGGTAGTAACCAATGCTCATTTTGGATTTACTGTATGTCAGGCAACATGCAAGTACTAACACTACTTCATTTGTATTCTACACCATATAGATAGGTATTGATATGTGCATTTCACAGATGTGGAGGCCTCGTCATAGAGAAGTTAAATAATTTACTCAGAGTCACTTGGGGAGCCAGGGGCAGAGCCAGGCTTGAGTGCAAAGCCCTTGTTGTCCATATATTGCCTGGCAAGTGTACAGGATGCAAAACTAACCCTTTGTACCAGCTAATTAAGTACTACTCTCTTATATTTGACACCAAGGCATTTTTAGATAGATGTGCACTATCTACAGAGGTATTTTAAGGAGGTGGGCAACAGCAGAAAAACGTTGCTTTAGAGTAAGGAGACTTCCAACCCTGTCATTTCTTCAGTACATAACTATGTCTTTGATCAAACCATTTTTCCAAACCTCCGTTTTCTCATTTGAACATGTTTTGTTGTATAGACTAAGCAAGATAATTAAATTCCTATAAAAGCAGTCGCCTTAAAGGAATTAAAAAAAAAAAAAAAAGGTAACTAGACACCTGAAAATGCCTGTCAGTCTAGTATCTCATGATGGTGTCCAGTACTTTTATTTTAGCACAACCACTCCCTACTCCAAGTCAACGCTTACCATAATAAAAATACTTACACTGTGTAACAACTGCCCCGCAGAATGGTTTTCACTGTGTTCTTTCTTGGCAGGCCATAAGCCATGGTGAATTATTACAGTCCAATCTCCTAACACAGGTGCCTGATGTAATAGTGACTCGGATACTCTTTTCGCTGCCTGAAATAATTCCAACACACCTAATTAATGGCTTTCCCTTGAATATCTTTTTAATATTCAAATAATAAAAAGATTCAGGAAAAAAAAGCATTTAATGTCAGACTGCCCCTAATAAATGTTCGTGGACGCGGAACTCCTAATGTAGAACTGTGTTCTCTTTGATTTTACAGGAATTCATTTTATCACTTCTTGCCGTGTATGGAGAAACCGCCAGGTTAACAGCACCGGTTTTCTGTCATGGTATTTTGTCTTTGCCTGAGCCTGCCAAACGAGCTAAACCACCGCATCGCCAAAATGCGTCAGACTGTGGCAATTTTAAGCGATAAATGGCTGTGCGGCCACAGGAACTTCCCGCCCCTACTCTAGCCCTTTAAAAAAAAAAAAAAAATGTAAACTGTTACAGATTTTTCCTCTTTCAAAAATCTGAACTTAAAAAGCATCCAACTTTAAGCACCACTCCCACTCCCTCTCCCACGCACACGTTTCATAGGTGAGTCTCGGGGCCACTCCGCCCCCACCCCTCAATCTGTGCAGGTCGCTGCGCGAACCTGCTCCCGGCAGCGGGCGACGGCTGCGCCGCCTCGGGGCGCGGG